CGGCGCTCACGCGCGGCCCGAGGTCGAGCTCGCGTGGACGGCGCCGCCCCAGGGCAGCGGCACGCTGGTGGTCCGCGCGACGGTCGCGGGGCCCGTGGAGGAGGGCGAGGAGCCGGAAAGACACACGCTGTCCTACACGCTCACGGAAGTCGACCCGCCGAAGAAGGGCTCCGTGCTCAGCGACCTCGGCCAGCAGTCCGCCGCCGGCGGCGAGCAGGCCGCCGTCTTCAACTTCACCGCGGCCGTGCTCCACCAGCTCTTCATCGAGCTCATCCGCAACCGCGACATCGCCGAGGCGTCGAACATGCTGAGCCCCGTCGCGCGGCTCAAGGTCCGCGAGGGCCTCAAGAAGGGCGCGCCGACGGAGCTCCACAAGGGCAAGGACGCGGTCATGGTCCAGGTCGAGAAGTGGATGGCCAACGGCGTGTCGGTGATCAAGGACGCTCGTGACCTCGCGCCGGGCAAGTCCATGACCGTGCTGCTCCACGGCGAGCCCCTCGCGCCGCCGGAGCCGCCGAGCGGCGAGGTGTTGGCCGTCGTCGACGGCGACGCGGAACCCCCGGCGAAGGAGCTCCGCAAGGCCGCGGGCCGCGAGTTGGACACGATCCGCGACCTGCGGGCCGCGAAGCTCCAGTGCGCGGAGGAGGTCCGGGGCATGTGGGCGCCGTCCGGCGGCCCCGCGGAGCTCCCGAAGCCCGCGGAGGCGTCCCAGTCCATGATCACCGACGGCCGCTACGGCGGCAACATGCCCCACCTCCAGATGTCGCTGCCCTTCAACTACCCGATCAACGCCAAGGGCTTCGGCACGGACCTCGCCGCGCGCAAGGGCCTCGAGGCCATGGACTCCGGGGGCAAGGGCAAGTCGCGGACGAAGCAGAAGCGGGACAAGTCGTCCGCCGGCGACCGCAAGGCCCAGGTCGACGCGCTCGCGCGGCTCGCGGAGCGGAGGGACCTCGCGGACAGAGAAGAGGCCGCGAACCGCCGCGACGCGCGCATCGTGCTGCCGGGCTTCGAGCGCATGGGCGGCGACCTGG